CGAGGGGGAGGCCAGGAAGCCTCTGGCTGGGAGCGTGAGCGACAGAGCAGCTAAGAAGGAGGAGGTCATGGAGCAATAGACAGGGCAGTTTTGTTGGGAAATGCCAGCAAGAGGTCTGCAACTCATCCAACCTCAGATGGAGTCCGGTTCACCCTCAGGGCTGAGGAGCAGCTTATCGCCTGGTACCTGCTGCCTCTCCCACAGGGATGCTGGGAGGGGACAGTTCATCACTGCGGCTGCTCCATTTTCCCGCTCTCCAGGTCTGCGTCCGGGGCAGGGCCCGGACTACGCCCAGCCTGTTGCAGCCCGAGAGAGCTGCCAGCAGCTCCAGGGCTGAGACGGGTATGAAATCTCGGCTCTGCCTCCTTCTGCGCAGGGCATTACCTTGGGGAGGGAGCTGGCAGCCAGAGAGGAGGAAACTCCTGCTGCGATGCTGGGGCTTGAGGAAATTGTGCTGGGGCATACAGGTGCAAGGAGCCGTTCACAGGGCATGGCCTGACCCCAGACCCTGAGAGAGGAGGCAGAGGAGGGACTACAAGAGCAATGGAGCAGGTCTGCCCCTCCACTGGCACCCGTGCAACCTCTGGGGCACGGGGACCCCAGGCAGCACGGCTTTTGTCACTGTCCCTGCACAGACCCCCGCTGAGCTCCCCCCCAGTCCACCCCAGGGATTAGCACAAGGACATCAGGGCTAAAAAGGGCTGGATTCACCGGAGACAGGAGTTAAACTGTCAGCAGGCGAACACCCTAGTCAATCCGTGTTAGACCACCACGGCCCTCGGGCGTCACGCTGCAGGTACCTTGGATGGTGACCACGGTGCAAGGAAGAGGATGATCTCTAGCCTGGACCTTCCTGAAGACAGGTTTGCCTATCAAAGCCATCAGCAGGAGATCAGCAGGAGGGACTGTACACCCCGTGCAAACCACGGCCGTGCAGTTAGTAAACTCTACTCCTACTTCACACGGGGTTAGTGTCGCTCCCTCGCCGGCTGCCCCTCGTCTGCACAGGCGGCACCACGCTGCGGGAAAGCCCTTCTCTTCCTGCTGGTCAAAGGGACCGGCCTCGTGGCCAGAGCCTCGTCAGTCTGAATTCTGGTTTCCAGGGCTCCTGAGGGGCTGCTCTGGGACCTTCTCCCCCTGCAGTGCTCGGCCTAATGACGGATGCTCGGCTGGCTAATGACGGCTGGCGGTGCACGCCCGGCTGCCGGGTCTCGCTGGTGGGAAGGGAGGGTCTGGGTGCCTGAAGCAGCCAAGGGGTCCCACAGCTCCGGCGGCGCTCGGGCACCCTGGCTGCTGCCTGGGGAGTGCTCCCCGTGCCGTGCAGAGCCCTGCGCACGCCTCCTGCGTGGGCAGCAGGGGGGGGAAGGCTGGACCCCCCCGGCTCCGAGAGATGGAAAGGGGGCTGCCTGTCACTTCAGGGGTGACGGCTCACCCTCCCCGAGGTGGGGTTAGGTGTGTGCGGCAGGCAGAGCACTCTGTGAGGGGACACGGTGTTAGTGTGACCGGCCAGGGCAGTGAGGCCGGGGCACGGCACCTCCCTTACCTTC